AATCCCTTGTAAGAAAAAAAAATCCCCTAACATGGAAGAATCATAGTCAGAAATATCAGTTGTGTTTTGAAAACGCACTGTTAGCATTGATGATACTCTAAACATGTTTAGTTTTTCTTCTTGTACTATTTCGTACCTTAAGTTACAAGGGGTAGAGGGTGGGAGTTTTATTCATGTGAGAGCGTGACATTGAAAGATGGTAAAATTTGGTTAAAAATACTTTTGTTTTTTTTATATGAAATTTATCTAATTACAAAAAGACGTTGATGATAATCAACATAATTATTAGTTATCGTTATTACAATATAACGATATTATATAAATATACTATATTATAAATATATATATTATAATATATTATATATTAATATTTACTATTATACTATTATTATATAATTATTATATATTATTATATTATATAATTACTATTACTAATATCTATTATAATATATAATATTATATTATATTTACGTATATTATATAATTAATATATTATTAATATATTATGTATATATTAATAAATATATTATAAATATATAATATATATATATATAGATATTTAATATATTTAATTATAGTTATTACAAATAATGGAAAAAAAAAAAGAAGAAACAAATAAACCACCCTTTCTGTTTTTTTTCTTTTTCTTTTCATTCAACCCCCGCCCCTTCATCTTTTGAATTCTTAAAATAAAATCTTAATTTATCCTATCATCTATAATTGGCATTTCGATTGGTATAATCGAACGTCTTGCGATATCGAAATAGACACACACGCACCCCCTCCCCCAAATACGAAAAAGGGGGTTGAACGGATTCGTAATCCCTCGATACGGAATTCAACATAAGCTCTCGATGAAGTTTGTCGAGTCAGCATTCACCCAGTGTAGTTTTCGTCGTCGTCGTCGTCGATGATTTCTCTGTGTGCAAGAGAGAGAGAGAAAGAGAGAAAACATCCGAAGAAAAGGGTCGTCCTTCTTCTGGGCGTGTCCTTTTCCTAAGCATTTGCATCTGAATTCTCTCAGTGTCTTTCTAGGAAACACTGGAGTTAATTAAACGTCTCATAGTTTTCCTTTTACTATGACGAAGTAGGAATGTTCCTGGCACCGAGTGGACCATCCTCTAAAAGGTGAAGCTTTCCTGCAGTAACGTCAATTAATAACTATGTATTTAGGACACCCTGAAACTTTATTATAACAATTATAATAATAATAATCTAAATTAGTCAATAATAATTCTTTTGTATATAATAATAATAATATTTTCAATTATTCAAATGCATCTGATTAGTGGATTATTAGTATTTTGTGGTTTTATTTTCAATTATAGTTGTGATACAAGTTTGAATCTTAATTTGATTTAAAAAATGAAAAAGAATAATAGTTAACACAGTTTTGTTTATAATAATAATAATATTTTTAATTATTCAAATATATTGACAATTATTTCAAAGTTTGTAGAATAGGATAATTAGAAAATGGTGTAAATATCTTTGACCCATGCCAATCATTCTATTCTAAGCTTAGAAGTGCTTTCTAAGCACGTATCAGAACCACTTGAAAATCGTTCCAGGACATTACATTTCTCTCTCTCTCTCTCTCTCTCTCTCTCTCTCTCTTTTTCCCTTACTCTTGATAATAACTTTACCAGTAATAGTCCATCACTGACCGGATACGATACCGTTGAAACTTCTATGGA